TCTGTTTTATCTTATTGTGTGATGTGACAAGCTAATGTTTCACATTTCATATCTAGCTAAAATGACAAGTGTTCCAGATGGATATTAACAAGCAAGTAATTTTGGCTGATGAAATTAACAGTGTGTGTTTGTGTCACTTACCAAAAAGTAAATAGCCAGTACATTTTTAAAAATATTATTGGAAACAAAAAAAAGTCTTATAGAAGCTAAATGGGTTAAGAAATTGGTTTCAACCTTCATCTAATAAAATGGGCTATAAACTATAAAAGCTTCTACATGCATTCTTCAACCATTATCTTCCCAAGCAACTTCTATAGCGTACAACCAGCACAATCAAAGTATGTCCATGCTAAAATTACCTTCATCTATGTGAAAAATTATCATTGTGTGTGCAGCTTTCTCAAGGTATGCTTCTGTTGTAGAACAAAAATTGGAGATTTCAGAACAATCAGATTCGCGTGTAATGCTAAGTCCTGGTTTCTTTCACTACAATTGATTGAATAAAACCTAACTGCTTGACACGAGAAAGTCACTGATCACTAATCCACAATTTATATACTAGTTCATGGTTTAAAAATGTTTGAACCCTACCAATAGGGTTCCATCTCATAAATCATGGATGACTAACTTTGTGAATGCAGTTATTCTGTCTTGGGTTAAACAGCTTTGCAGGATTCTATATTTAATCACACACTAAGAGCTTCCAAACTATACAGCAATATAACAGTCCTTCTGTTAACCCACTTTGCCTAAAATTGCTGTAGAAGCAGAATGATTGTTATTATACTACTTACAGTGCTAGTTTTATCTACTATAAAGATTTGCAGAGTTCAATGGAGGGCCATATTTCACTTTCAGAGAGGAGTACTGAGGCTGTAAAATGGTTGGAAGGCCATATTATGCATAATATGATGAGGCAAAGTTAGGGAAGGGAGTCTGGAGGGTTTCTGTTTCTTAATTATGATTTGCCTATATTAGGGTTTACATTATCATTCTTATGTATTATCCAGCTCATAATGACCGAAAAATGTGTTTATTTAGAAGATTCAGATGGGAAAACGGATAAAGCAGACATTCAAATACTCTTGCCAGAAAGGCAGAACAGACTTCTGAATCCAGACAGTGATACAGACCTTTCTTGTAAATGGATTCTTTGTGGGCTAGATCTTATCATTTTCTTTTGCTCTCTTTCTTCACAGAGACTCTCAATTGACTTCAAACAAAACAGGAAGCCAAAGTTCACTAGCTTACTGGGGAAAGAGATTTGTCAGAGAACAAGAAGTCAGTGCTGTTAAATCAAAGCTCAGGTGTGCCTAGTGTCAGTAGTCACTTGAGGCTGTGAATCCTAAACTTGGAAAATGGCTCCAGCATATCCCAGGAACAACAACAGAGTTCTCTGTCCAGAAGACTGCGTGCTAGGAGCAGCTAAGATCCTGCGCAGAACTCTCCAATCCTAGGCCTAAGGTTGAGGACTCAAGACTGAGGAAAAGATACACCACCAATTTATCTATCTATCTATCTATCTATCTATCTATCTATCTATCTATCTATCTATCTATCTATCTATCTATCTATCTCACTGCAATGTTAATTATCTATGAAGTGATTTTTCTGCCAGAGATAAAATGGAAACATTATTACCATTGTATAGCATTAACATTTCAAAAATGAATAGCACATTTTATGACATTTCAAATAGGGCTCCTAGAAATGCCTGCTAATATTGTTATTTTGGTTGATGCCTTTATGATGTTCAGTATGTAAACCTGAAGGCTATTACTTTTCTGTCTCAGTTGTTATGTGAATAAGACTGACATGATTTTAGGACTTCTTGAATTAGAGAATCTGGATAAATACATTTAAAATAAACAATCTTGCTTTTTCTAACCTGGCATCCTCCAGATATGCTTGGCCTGCTTCTCAGCCACTGGCAAATCCCTCCAAAAATTTCTGGAAGTTGTGATGCTGACACATCTGGAGACGCATTCAACTGGAGAAGGCTATTATATAGTGCATTATATTAACCAACCCTAAATAATATATTGTTATTTAAACCCTGTAATGTAGGAGTTATAATGTTAAATAAGAATCAGGTAGCGTTTCAAATACCTTGTTATTTTATATACAATTATTACGCATGCATTTTCAGCCTATGCAATCCCCAAAGTGTTGTCACACATCTAATCAACCTATCCATAAAAAAAACTCTAGTTTCAAAAACCAACAGCATCAAAAACTGAAGATTGGCCATTCTAAAAAAGTACACATCTAAGTCACTCTTTCTGAAAAACAAAAAGGACAAATGAATCATTTCTGTCAGGAGATTTCAGAATCTAAGCCAGATTTCTTGAACCTGGTGTCTTCCAGATGTGTGGAATTATTGCCAGAAGTAACAGCCAGGATGCCTGTGGAGGAAACAGTTGTCCCGTCATCCTGGCCTGTGATGCCTTTTCCCTTCCCCAAGAAACACGCGAGGACTGGAATAACCCTCCTCTGAGATTCATCCCCTTCCTCATCTTGGCACCAAGAACTTAAGAGGGATGTGATATTGAGAAGGACCCACATTTTAGTCACTCAGTTTGAATTACTTGAAGCCATGAACTCTTAGATTCTTTTTTTTCTTCTACTGAGAAATTGCATAGCAGCCAAAAGCTGTATTTCCTGTCCACCTCAGATATAGGCATAGTTTAGATTTTCATTCTCACCTTAACAAAGACATCTGAAGTCCTGTTCCCTTTCCCTGATTCTGTGTATGGTTTCCAAGTGGGAAACATCACCTGCAGAATTAAAGGGCTTGAAATATTGTGAAGTTAAATAAAAAACAGAACAGCAAAGAATCCAATGATCTGATTCAGAATAAAATATGCCAGACTCTTTACATGGCCTTAAACATGTCTACTTTTCTGTAATTTCCGAAATAGCTGGGTCCACAAAGTCAGTATGATGCAGTTCATATACAGTAACTACAAATGCTATCTTTATTTTTTAAAAATAAAGAAGGCAACCATAGTACCCAGTCCAGTTTGGCTTCATAGCAGACAAAGGATTAAAGACCCTTGCCTTGCATTAGGATTCTGAGCCAGATGGGTAAATAAGCTTCATGTTATGTGCAGTGTTTCAATCATAGTAATTAAAAGTATTCACTCAGATATTATTTGCTCCAGGAGAAAAACTGCCACCAATGCTAATGTTAGCTGTTATCCTAGAATAAACAGACTCTAGAAGAGGGAGCAGTATTGAGGCCACAGTGTTGAAAGAATCATTTCAACAAATATTTTTGATACCATGATCTCTGTTTTGATATTTCTTTCTTGCTACTTCTTTTAAAGAAATAAGCCATGGGAACTATAGTCACACATTTCATTTACTTTGGCTCCCAGCCATCTGTATTCACTTGGAAAGAGGACCGTTATAAGAGCAGGATACTGGGAATTCTGGATGGCACTGATATTAAGGAAGCATCTATATAGAATGATTAATTCATTACTAACGTATCGGTCTGGTGTACATTCACTTTCCATTCTATTTTCTAATAGAGGGTAATTCTATTTTCTAATAGAGGGTCTACTAATAGAAGCTGATGGAGAAGCTAATTTATTGTGACATTTTCCTCCTTTGCCAATGATTAGAGTTATATATTGGATATAACCATAAAGTGGTGAACCCTAGTTTATTAAATAATGCACAGCTGACTGGATTTTTGCAACATAGCAAACTATAAATCAAAGTCTCTTTGCACATGTTGAACCAAGATCAAATAAAACACATTATTATATAAACAGATCTGTGAATATGTTTGCTGTCTAGTCTAGAAAATACAACAGATTCTGGGCTGCCTTGAGGACACTTGGAAGGCCGGGACACTCTTTTAAACAATTAAAAGAGTAGCCTGTGAAATGGACAAGAAACTAAGCAAGGGCATTGGTAAGCTTTTCAATGGACCATTGTATCACTGGAATATCACTGGCTTTCTAGGAGCCTAGTTGCATGCAAACAAAGAGGAAGATGCAGATGCAGTTATTCTGATTCATGCACCAGAATACTGCTTAATAAGACTTAAATTGGCTACACCCTCTTTATCCCTCTCCAATATTATACAATGTACTATTAATTCATAATTCAATCATTACATTTAGTCTCTTTTTTATCATATAATGTAGAAAATGATTGTCTTCAGGTTATGTCTCTTTTTTTCATTTATGAAATCCTTGTGCTGTCATAATAAGCCACATGGGCTTGTCAGAAGACAAAGAGAAAAAAACATGATTTTTCCACCACATTGTGACCTCTGCAAAACTTTGTAAGGAACAATTTGGAATCTAATTCCATGGAAGATAAGGTTATCAATGGCTACCAATCAGTCAGGGCAATGGCCTAGGTCAGTGGTGGCGAAACTTTTAGAGACTGAGTGCCCAAACTGAAACCCAAAACCCATTTATGTATCGCCAGGTGCCAGGTGGGTGTGGCCCACTGGGTGGGCGTGGCTGTGGTGGTCATGGCACTGGATGGGTGTGCCCAAAGTAGGTGTAGTCACCTTGATGTTGCTCGTGGGAAGGAACGCCTGTGGGGGCCAGGCAGGGTTGGGAGAGATCCAGGGGGTCCCTTGCAGGTGGGGCTGTGGGCAGGAGGCTCATCCTGCAGGCTGAGACAAGGCACGGCAGGGTGGGGATGCCATTGTCGCAGGGCAAGATGAGACAGGGGCTAGGGCGGCTACTGCCTGACACCATCGGCCCCCACACACAGAGGCCAGCCAGCGCATGGGGGCTGACAGTGTCCGTCAGCAGCCACAGCCTGCCAGCCCCTCAACCAGCACACTCTGGGGCTCCGCAGCCCACCACAAGCAGTTCAGAGAAGCCGCCTCTAAGCTGGACGGACGCCGACAGCTGAGGAGGCGATTTAGTGGGAAAGGAGAGCATGCGAGGCCAGGAGGGATGGGATGGGGGGAGGGAAATCAGCCGTGCTGGGATGCAAGCAGCCACGTGGGACCTCGGTGAGTTAGTGGGCAGCTGGTTAAAGAGGGATGGTTGCCATCTCCGGGGCATGGCGCATGTGCCCACAAAGAGGGCTCTGAGTGCCGCCTCTAGCACATGTGCCATAGGTTTGCCACCACTGGCCTAGGTCCTAGGACTAAGGCAATCCACATTCAAGTCCATTCTTAGTTAATTAAAGGTAACTAGTAACTTTGGAGCCAATCACTATCTCTTAGCCCACCCTGCTTCACAAGATGCTGTTGTTAGGGGTCAGAATTAAGACAGATCACCAATAAAAAATGCCTTGACCTTAGGAGGAAGGGCAGCAAGTCTAAGAAACAAATAAGCAATAGTGATCTACATTCCTTCTATCCTGTGTATGGACTTCCTATACAGCAGCTGTTGGCTTCTGTGCATGGAATGGAGAAGGCCATTGTCCTTTCAATTGCCTCAGTCAGTAAAATGTTTGGGACAGCCAGTTTCAAAACTAAAACTGTAGCCAAAAGTAATGGCAGATGAAGTGGAGGAAAATTCCTTTCCTCTCCAACAGACCTGCTGGACATCAGTTTGGAGAAGATAAAGTAAATACAGCATTGTTCCAAAATGGAAAAAACCCCCAAAATCACAGTTCGACAATCGTTGATTGGCAGGAAGAAACAACCAACACAGGGCACAAGTTTTAGAGCTCTCCAGAACTCCTGGACTGCTTTTTCTATCGTCTAATAATTCCATGAATTGATCTGGAAGATGACAAAGCTGTTATTTTTGGCGCTTTAGCCTTAAGAAAATAGTGGAAGGTGGAGAAGGCTGATTCGGGGCAGTACTGAAAATTAGTCGCCTCTCCGACCAGCCCCGCAAACACACCACCAACAACTCGCCGCTCCACTGCCTGGAAAAGACTGCAACAAGATTTCCTAAGAGTCACCCGCAGGTTAGGAAGAAGCAGCGGCAACTTTGAACGCCCTCTCGAATCTCCTCTCCTTCTCCCCCGTTCTCGCTATCTTCTTACGGAGCTGCCGCTGCGCTGCCCAGACAGGCAAGAGAAGCGGCAGCGTGTCGCAGCTCGTCTAGTTTCGGCAACGAGGGGCTGCAAAAAGCTGATGAATGATTAACCCACGCTGCCTAGACAGGAGGACTTGATCCACGGGAGCAGCGAGGAATCCGAGAAGATGCCCCAAGGGCCCCCGGAGGCCAATCCACGTCCCTTCCCGAGAACTCCAACCTTTAAACGCCGCCCCACCTACAAGACCTTCGGTGAGAAGCAGGCAGCAGGCAGCCCCTCTCCGCGCCCGACCCGAAAGGCTTCCCTCGGAACTCCCTAACCCGCCGCTCAGACTTGGAGAGGAGGGGGACACCGCTCGAAAGAGCTCTCCGGGAACTCGGCGGGGTCGCCAACCCCTCTCTGAGCTGGACGTCCCGCGGTTCTGCCCCTTCGGTCACCAAGCGAGTCCCGCTCCGGAGATAGCGAGGTGGCTGCTCCGGCCTCCCATTGGCTGCTGGGCGCCTGACGCGCGGGCCGCGGGGCGGTGTCCGGGACGCCGGAGCCCGCCGGAGGAGCGCTCACAAACATGCTGCAGCCTCGAAGCAAGTCGGTCGCCGTTCCGACGGCGCTGGCGTGGAGACGGATCCGCTTCGCCTTCATGCCTCCAGCCTGGATGCCCTAAGCTGACCCTTGCTTCGTTGCACAGCCATGGGAGAGAGATGGCTCTTAGAGGATCACCTTCGCAACCGATCGAACTTGACGGCTCAGGCTGGCCTGAGACCCCTCAACGCCTCAACGGATTTCGATCTACCTGGCAGCTGGAAAACGGAGTTGTCCCAGCAGTGGCTGGTGGGCATGAGCCTCCTGATGTCTTTGATGGTGACCTTCATTGTTGTGGGCAATGGTCTGGTGATTGCGGCCATTGGGAGGACGCAACGGCTGCAAACCCTCACCAACGTCTTCATCACCTCCCTGGCTTGCGCTGACTTGGTGATGGGCTCTGTGGTGGTATTCTTTGGTGCCACCCTAGTAGTACGAGGCTCTTGGCTCTGGGGCTCCTTCCTATGTGAATGCTGGATTTCAGTGGATGTCTTGTGCGTGACAGCAAGCATAGAGACATTGTGCGTCATTGCAATTGACCGTTATTTGGCCATTACTTCGCCCTTCCGCTACCAAAGCCTCATGACAAAGAGACGTGCCAAGATCATTGTCTGTGTTGTCTGGGCCATTTCTGCCTTGGTGTCCTTCTTGCCCATCATGATGCATTGGTGGAGAGACAAAGGCCCTGAGGCTCAGCATTGCTACAATGACCCCAGCTGCTGTGACTTTGTCACCAACAGGGCATATGCTATTGCATCCTCTGTCATCTCTTTCTACATCCCTCTTTTTGTTATGATTTTTGTCTACATTAGAGTCTACAGAGAAGCCAAGGAGCAGATGAAGAAGATTGATAGGTGTGAGGGCAGGTTCTACAATAATCATCATCAGCACCAGCATCCAGTCCACCAGCACCTGCCTATCTTGGGTAATGGCCAAACTAATAGACGAAAAACATCCCGGATTCTAGCTATAAGGGAACAAAAAGCTCTTAAGACTTTGGGCATCATCATGGGGGTTTTTACTCTCTGTTGGCTACCATTTTTCTTGGTTAATATAGTCAACGTCTTTAATAGAGGTCTTGTACCAGACCAGCTCTTTGTATTCTTCAACTGGTTGGGTTATGCCAACTCTGCCTTCAATCCCATCATTTACTGCAGGAGTCCTGATTTTCGTAAGGCCTTCAAAAGGATGTTGTGCTGTCCTAGAAAAGCAGACCGGAGGTTGCATGCCAGCACTGGAGAACTCTCTCATTACCCTGGAGGTTTCATCAGTACCCTGGGAAATACGGCTCCATGCACTCTTGGAGGGACATGGTCTGATTACAATGGTGGTATGCAGGATGGAAGTGACTCCAGCTTGGAGGAAGGGAACAGTAAAATCTCCTATTCAGAGTCCAAGGTATAAAGGGCATGTGGTGAGTGGGATAAAAGAAATGGGAAGGTATGTTGCATACTACAGAGCAAGAAAGGGAGGCAAAATAATAGATAGGATGGGGGGGGGTCTTAAAGGAATATCTCGTGAGGTGTTCTGGCTAATACTCAAAACTCCAGACTGACTTTTCTCAGTTGGATGAAGATATTATTTACCTGACGTACAAAGCAGGTGAACTTGTATACAGCATACCTCTTATCCAAATTGAAGGAAAAGAAGAGTGACTGACCACTGAAAAAAAGAAAACTATTCGTTTTCCAAGTTATCTGGATTATTATTTTTGGATCGCATGCTGCAAAGGTGGCAGTGGGGGATTTAGGTAAGTAGGGAGTGGTATGCCAGGAAAGGAACAAAAGCAAGTTGCAAGGAATTTGTAAAAGAAATATTTCAGGAAAAGTTGAATTTGTAGCAAGGGTTCAGCCTCACAGTAATGGAAAAGCAAGCCAGGGCTCTCCTGATACTGAAGGAAATAGGAAGAAGCCCTTGGCTGACAGTTTAAATTTAGAGCTAGAGATAACGCCCTTAGTTGTTTTTACTATTATTGGGTGTGTCAGTAGCACAAGTAGCCTTTTTTTTGGTTTGCTTTTAATTTATTCGATCCTTGAAAGGAAAAGAAGAAGTGCTGGCCACCTGTTTATCTTTCCTGAGATCGGTGTGAATTTCAGGCAGGAAACAACTTTAGAAACCATGCTTAAAGTCTCTTTGGAATAAGCCATTGAAACATTTTCTAATGTGTTTTGTTATGCAGTCTGATCATCCGATGCATGTTCAGTCGGAAGCGAGTTTGATGAAACTTGTTCCCATATACAGTAAGTGCTCATTAGCTTGTAGCCTGGAAAACCTACATGCTCCTTAATATCCAAGAAGGAAGATCCATCAGAAATACTGCAAATGGAGAGTATTTTGTTTTGATCCAATTTCTCTCGGGTTTAGTCCTTTCGCCCAGTGATGTCAGGGGTGAGGGGATATCGCGTTTTTTATCATATGAGACATCAGCAGTAAGGCTATAAAACATCTACCTCAAGCTGTGCATATTGTACAGGGAAAATGTGTTTATATTAAACAGCTTATTGATGTATTGCTAGTTAAGGGTTTTTAAAAAATAAATAAATAAAGAGTCAGGAGTATCTCAATAGACAAATTGTTCACATTGAAAAATGAAAGATAAAAATTGGCTTACAAGCACCAGAAATATGACTGCACATTTGAAAAGACTCAGAGGTTGTTTTTTTTCTTTTGCACAGTATTAACAAAGTTCTCTCTGTAAGTCTTTCTCTCTCACACGCACACACAAACACACACATTCGTATAGACGAACCCACTGGAAAACAAAGTAGATTCCAACTTGATTTCTATTGCTGGCTGATTTTTTTTAATAACAATTTTATGTGGTTTATCAAAGGTACTGTAAGTATATTCATACCCAAGAATTTCTATTAGTAACTTCTCTGACTCCCAGAAAATCATGTGAACCTTTTGTGAATTTAGTGCTTCATTGTCTTTCTCCATTTTTTACTTCTGTGCATTTGTGTGTGTGTATGCAAGGGACTGTATGCACATGCATTTTATATTGTATTTATATTCTGTGGGTGCCGTTTACTACTGTATGTCATTGGTCTACGTGCAATAAAAAACACCGCAGTACAAACAAGTGTATTTACAATGTGTCTTTAAAAGTGCAGGAATCATATCCATTTTTGATTAAAAACAATGACTGTTTTTCTGGAATTATAGATCACGTTACCAATACAGTTCAATTTAATGGCTTTTCCTGACATAATTGTCTTTTTAAAAAAATATGCTTGCTGTACCAAATAAGGCAGCATTCCTGTTAGACTGAACACTGTTGACTTCTTCTGAAATTCCAGGGTGAAAAGCAAATCATTTCCAGCTTGCCTATAAATATATTAGCTACTTTTTATCAGGTTCCTTTTATCAATTTAATTTAGCCTGATAATAAAAAAAACTGAATGAGATGGCTGGAGATGGTGCATAAACAATGTGGGTTTCATTCGAGAACTATTAGGAAGAAGAGATTAACTGTGCTTTGAGACGCACAGGTCATACATTGTTTGCGTACAATAAATCATACAGATGTCTGGATATACCTGAGCTACATGATAATCCATAATAAGATTTTAAATCAGTCCAGAATAAGGGCTTTTCTAACTGCTTTACTGCACTGCCCCTTTTGAAAAGTTGAAGTACCACAGAACAGAAATCATCATTAAAATAGGAAGCAAATCAGTTGAGAAAGACAATCAAACCCTAATTATTATGAAGTTCCTTAATTTATTGCCACTTGTTTATCTATTTTTAAGTAGGAGCTGGTGATAATTAGAGAGTGTTATTTAACCTTAGAAACTGTCTCCTCAAAGATGCATCCATTGCCATCAAAATTTCAAATTCACTAGAGAGTGAATGCCAGTTTTATTAGCAATATCCTCACTGTATTTAAGGAACATTTTGAATAGATTAGTTTGATTATCTCTCCATTTCAGATACCTATTCACTGATCCTATTCCTGACAGGACTTCTCCAGTGTCATTAACAGTAAAACAGCAGAAACTCAAATGAAATTTTATACTACTGTAGAACATTGTCACCTAAATGGTCTTATGGCTGTTAACCTTCAAGAGAAAATACTTCCAGAGATAAGAAATAGGAGCTGGCTTATCATCAGCTGATTGCTGCCTTGAATTCATGATCTAGAGTAATCTGTTGAGATCTAGACAATGTTGAATACGTTTCACTAAAATTATACAGTATACCAATCAGGGTAAAATAATTGCTCGTGCTTTTTAACTATGATTGGGTTACACTTTGAAAGACAGGTAAAATAAATGTTGGATCAATAATGCAGTTTGTTTTAAAAAGCAGAATGGTGCCTACTGCATTCATTTAAATTAGCTTTCCCCAGACCTCTACACTCTAGTAAGCATTGGGATAAGAATTCCCAGAATTCCCAATCAGCAGAGCCAATCAGAATTCTGCCTGAAAATTCTAGAATTTGTCATGAAAGCATACTTGAAAATCATTTGTGTGGAGAAGGCTGACTTAAAAGATCTCCACACAGTGCTTATAGATGATATTGTAGACACCGCTGTGAGTTGACAATATTATTAGAGATGTCATTGGTGCTGTCCACTTCTTATAATCGATGGCCCTTGGTTGCATTTTGATCTTGATTTTTCTCTGGATAGCCTTAAGTATTAAGTATTCCATTATATTAGGAACACAATGTGCTATGTATTAAGTTATGTTAGCTCTGAGTTTTGTACCATGGCCTTGGCATGGGTTATATGTTGCTTTCAGTTTCATTCAATACTGAAATTAAAATATAGGGGGGGGGAAGGAAATTGATAGAATGAAATGATTTTGATTGATAATAATGGACCGTGAAAGAAAGAAGATTATTGTCAAGAAGATTATTGTCAACATGTTCAAAAATGCCTTTTTCTCTGACTGAAGGATGATATGTCAGCTCCATGTACTATATCAGGTTGTGAAGGAAACAGTCTATAGGATATGATGTTCATTACTTGCCTTGGAGTATTTTAAATGAACTAAATAATCTGACCTTTAATCAGCAGTGGCTGAGTACCACAATACCGTGAATAAAGCTTAATGCGTATAAAAGCTTGGCCCTGGAATATGTGTTCATTGCCAAGCTGGAGTCACTTGTGTGGACTACAAAGTTTAGGACACTCTGATATTCACACAACACTTAAAGGCAAATACACAGAGTTGGTCCAGAGAAATAGGGTTTGGTAACTATGGAGACTGCACTGGCAAAATGCCAATGCAGCATGGTTTTTTGCTGATAAATAGAACGTGATTAATGATAATAAAAGCTTTTCCAGTTATTTCATGTACTTTGATAAGAAGTAATACAAATCTGCATATATTTGATATATCTATTGAAACTTACATCCCCAAATTTACTATAGATGACATGGCCCAAAATAAAGTCTTTGCACACTGAACTAAAGTATTCAGTTCAATCTTTGAGGGTCAAATAATTAATGTTTATAAAATTGTTGTGAGGGGTAAAACTCCAAGAAAACAAAATTGTTCATTTTTTATTGCTGGGTGGACATGTAAGTTATGCTGAAGCTTGAGTTTGGAGCTGTTGATGCCAATAGTTCCACAAGGTATGGTTTGAAGACCAATTTTTCTACCCATTGGAGCTTTCATCTTAAATTGCTACAGCCTTTTCGAATTGAGAACAGCATTTTGGGATGGCCACCATATATAGGAAGCTAAAAGGCCACTGTGCATGAGTGTAAGAATATCTCATCTCCCTACATTTAGACGGATGGTTGTAATGTCATTTCCATTGCAGAAAGCTCTGAAAAGAATATAATATAGGTAAGGAAATATTGTCTTCAGATAATATTTCTGTACTTCTGCATATCTGTATCTGAAGTACATAAAAATAAAAATTCATTTATAATCAGATACTGTTCGTACCATAAATAAAGTTTTTTCTACAGTTATGTGGGTTCTCTGCTTGTTTACATGTGATGCTTCTTTGCTCTATATTAACACTGCTTTTAACAGCAAATTCAGCTGTCCAGGAAGGGAGTATGACACAAATCTCCAACATAATCACGGAACACACATGAAGAAATGCATTTTGTTGGAAGTCGTATCAGAAGTTTATTGCTTTCTGAATAGAAACAGGGGAAGTTGCTTATCCCGGGGGTGTATCTACTGACTTTCCATTGTTTTAGACCTGATGATGTCTAAAGTTCAATAAGGACTTTTCAACCAAGCTAAGTTCTTGAAGGTCCTTATGTGTATTTTGTAGTTAGGCTTTTTTCTTGATATGAGAATTTTTCACATACAGGTGACATGGAAATATTTCCATATAAGTAATATAAGTAATGTTCCATGTTTGCACTGATTCATTAAGCATTAAGCTTATATGCTTCAAGTCAACAGAAATGCTGAACATCAAGTGGCCTGAACTAGATGCGTTTCATTTTGCCCTGATGTCCTCCATATCTATTGTGTAATATTTTCTTCCTCACAGCACTGCAGAGATGATGCTTAATCAGAAAAGTCATCATTCAAGGCAGCTGTTAACCTCTTTACAACATCACTTAACATTATATGCTTTCCTTCCCCTTCCCTATGCTTAAATACTTCACATGGAATTTGCTTATCATCAATTTGAGAAGAAGGAAATACAAATGCATCAGAAACTAATTTCCATGCATTATGGAGTTTGCAAAAGGATGGCCTTGTATTTGTCTAAATATGCCCAATATGAACAACACTGGGTGAAGGTAGGTCACTTGTCATTTAAGTAAAATATGTGCCTTGCTGTGATGAGAATTATTTAAATCAGCATTGGGGAATTTGTGGTTCTGCAGTCATTGTTGAACTATAATTTCCAGCAATCTCATGCAGCATGCTAGGAATTTGTAAGTCAGGGACACCTACAAGACCATTAAATGTCCCACCTTTGCTGCTACTTTTGCCTGTAATTCCCCAATATTAAACCTAAATTCTTGAAAGTTTACATTTGGTTTATTAAGTTTCCAAATGACTCATGAATATTAAGACTTCAGTCTATTCAGGAGAATTTAGTCAGTTAAATATATGAGTTCCATTGCATTAATTGATTAATAGAGCAATCCAATAAATGTAACATAGGAATGAAATATAGTATGGCATGGAAAGTCTTTACTTTAAATTGGAAGGCTTTTTTATATACTTATGTCACATTGGAGTAAATCTCATTGAATACAATCCAGGCTCAGTCTAGGGCTCTTTTTTAACATGGTATTCAATTAGTCAACTTCACTTCTTAATAAAATCATTTTAATTTATTAAATACAAGACCTTGCTCTAGTAAATACAAGTCTTGTGTTCCAACTATTAACAGAATTTCACTCATGGAGAAAATATATTGATGGCAAGAAATAATTATGTTTTGTTTTTTGATTTTTGGGAATCTCTGATTTTGTTGAATATAAATTTGTGCACAATTTAAAAATGGTGAATTTAATTTGGGAAAGTGTGAATATGAGTATGCATTTGCCATTTGATTCGCCCGTATTCTGGAATGGTTTATTCATGTGAACATATACTGTTAATTTCTCATCCATCATAATGTACAATATCTATTTGCGTGGACAGTTTCCCAGTCAGTTAACAAAATAATTTGCATTCAAACTAATAATGCATTAATTAGATTTATATAATCTATTGTGTAAAACAATTTGTTCCAATCCAAAAATTAATACAGATATTAATAAACAACATGTTTGCTACAATAACTTACAGTGTATACCATTCCTGGAAAAAATAATTTAAACTTGTACGGTAGCTATTACATTAGGCAATTACGTTGTCGACTTGGCCATGAGGTCTACTGGTTTATCTCTGGCTATGCATTAACTAGCAATCTTTACCTACTTCACTAGGTGGTTGTTGTTGTTAAGAAAAAAATGTGGAGAGCGTCTATGGAGCATAAATTCTTTGAAAATATACATGTAATGAGTCCTCAATTCCTAAATCACTGAACACATTCAAGGAAGTGTACATAACTCAAATGCAAGTGAGATAATTGCAGAGTATGCACACTCTTGCAATACTATGTGGTTGGCGTTTTCACTGATATTCTAGCAAATGTGCATCATTTTCCTCCCTCACTGTTGCTAATTCATCATGGTGAATTAATTCATATATCAAAATGAGCTTAGAATAGCTGGTTTAGCTATGAGTTTGTTGGACAAAGTTTCGATAAACTCAGCACTGGGTTCCAAATACGGAAAAAAACAGTGTCCTAATATAGTGACATTCTTTGAGCATAATTTTATTTTTAACTTAAACATTTTGTTTATAACCTACTCTGTCACAAAGATTCAGAATGGCCATTAACAATTTTAAACTGTGAATTTGTACCTTTTAAAATGCTTATCTGAAAAATACAGCCCACTAGCTGTTCCTAAGATGATTCACAGACACAATCCTATGGAGGTTTAGTGAGTTTGTTCCCAGGTAAGTGCAGACAGTATTGCATCCTTAATCCTGTTATCATCTATGAGATGACATTTGCAAAAGTCCAGCTAGGGTTTATGCTTTTAATTACAGAGGCTTAATAAATTTAATACCTTGTATTACATGTACAACTACGGCTGATTTTATCAACCTAGCATCAGTTTCAAAGTAAAGTGCTACTAAATAGAATTAAACGTATGGATTCTATCACACATTTGTTCTCCATTTGTACAGGAAATATGGAATGATTATTGGCAAACACTTTATTCTGGATTATTATTTCAGTACAGCGTGTTCTTAAAAAATGAAAAAGCATACCCAAGAAAGAGTTGCAGAACAGCTGGAATAGTGTGAGGCAGGGAATTCAAACATCCATGATGGATCTCTCTTTGAAGCAAACCAGACATAAATTAACAAAGGAGCTGTAGTCAAAAGTGCAAAAATATCACATTCAGTTGGATTGAAGTTTGGATAACAAACAGAGTGAAGAGACAAAATAATAATAATCAATCACAGCAACCTGTGATTGACCTTAATAGGTCTTCTTGTCTATTTAAGAAGGATTAACAGTGTAATATCCAAAGCATCTAACTTTGTAAAAAACAGAATATTTTCTGTCTTATAACTAACCTAATCAAGTATTTTTTCTCTTCTGTTTCACCTTGTTATATCCTAACCTAGTCACGCTGGTCATCCAATTCCAATAAGATACATGAGAAGCTTGAGAATTATGTCAAAATTATCACTAGCCCTTCCTTTTAGACCCCAACTGTATGTCCTATTTCTTTAACTTAATTCCACAGGAGACTTCAGAAATACTTCCCTTTCCACTTTGGATGTTATGTTCCATGTGGCAGGAATGATAATGGGAACAAGAAGAATGGAATGAGTTTGGGTCATTGCTAAATGCATGATCCTCTGTATTTTTGCCAGTTTCTTTATTCATACTGACAGCATGTGAGCAGAGCCAGAATGAGCATGAAAATATATTTGGCCTCTATGTTTTGGATTAGTCTGATCCAGGCATCCTTCATCTCCTGTAAGAGTAAGTGGGGCGTTTTAACATGTTTTCCACTTTCAGAAGTTTACTCAGCTAATGTGAAAAAACAAAACTGTAATTAGCTTTTTATTAACAAATAAATAAAGCATAAGCTTTATTCCTTTAATTAAAAATAAACTGTTAATAGGCCACAACTCAGCCTCACTGAGAGTGGCCAAAAGAAAGGTAGGGAAGCAGAAATATCTTCAAGGGGGAACAAGGGGCACAGAATAATGAAAACAGCATCATTCCATTGCACCAGCCCTTTTGTATCTCCGTATGCAATATACATTGCAATATACATTACAAATATTTTTGAAAGGGATAGACATTATGGAGCATTAGCATGACAGTGCTTTTGCCTTTTTGATGAAAGCAGCAAGAGCTTGTGAACACCCCATAGTGAAGTTTCCAGGAACATGAATGGTTAGGATAAGGGTAGCTGTGGCCACCAGCTAGCTACCAATGATCCTGAGGAATGTTTCAGAGCTGCTTATTAAAATCCAGTACCACTTCAAGGAGTGGCCAAACATGATATAAATGTTATTATCATTAACATCAGTTTGTCATTGTTATGATCACCATTTCACTGAAAAAGAAAACCATGGTGAAAGGTTATATAATGTTTGCAGGACAATAGAGAAATCTTTAACCTTTTTGGAATGAATCATAAGCCCACTATATTTTATCTTCCTTAAGGGAAAAAAAAGTAGTTTCTTGGAGAAGGAGGATATTGAAAGTTACTTCTATTTAAATAAGATTTTTTAAAAATCACACTGAATTATTCTAAATGGTAACATATACAGTAATGGCCAATTTTCAGGGCACACTTAGGTGAAGTGTTGACCTTCACATTGAAAATGTATAGGAATGTACAGGAGCAGAATCTGCCAAAGTGGTCAAGGAACAGTAGTCACAACTAGCTATGCCACACAATATGCAAAGAATGCCAACTTGGCCTTTAAGTAAGGCCGATTATCAGCAGACAGCCAGAACATGTAAAGATGAAGTCAGGAAAGCAAAGGCTCAGAATGAACAAAGACTTGCAACAGAAATCATGGATAATAAATTTTCTTCCAACATATTAACAACAAGAAAAAAGCCAAGGAAACTGTAGGTCCACTAAAGAGAGGAGATGGCAACGAAATAACAGGCAACAGGGAGAAAGCAGAGCTGCTTAACTCATACTTTACATCAGTCTTCACACAAAAAGAAAACCACTGCAAAAGACAAATTAAAAACAAAAATTAATGGTGACATACATTTTTCACTGGGACAGCTATAATTTCAAATACAAATGCACAACATAACATAAGTTATTTCAATGCATTCCTTTTTAAGCCCCATCTGAATTTTAGATTTTATTAATAACTTCTAAGGAAATACTGTGTGTTGTGTCCTGAGCCTGCAAAAGCAGGCTCGGGACGCTGCATTGGTCCCGGGATTCCAAAAGCTGCCTGGGACCAGACAGAGCGGCGCCGGCCTTGCGCACATGCGCAAGGCGTTAAAACGCTCTGTTCCTATTGGTTGTCACTGTCTGGGCTTCTGGCCATATAAAAAGGCCTGCGAGCCTTTTGCTTTCGTTTGGTTGTTGTAGAAGGAGAATAAAGTGTTTGTTCAGCATTCGCCATGTGTCTTAATCATTTGCACGTGAACGAAGTACACAA